AAAGCAATGCTACCGAATTATGTCCACCTATTGCACTCACAGGAACCACAAAATTCCGATGGAATAGTGACTCGAAGCCAACAGGTATCTTATTCCAACACAGTGAATGTCTTAAATAGTCGCAAAAATATTGCTACCGAATATGCCGTTATGCTATCTGGAGTACGCTAGCTGTTTTGTAAATCTATTTGAATAAATAGTGCGTTGAAGGCACATAATAGATTAGTTCCTTCTTTTGTCTATCACTGACCAACTTATTGACAATCACTTGACCTCAATACACTTCAGGGTTCAATAAGTAAAATGGTGTTTTTCGTCACCCCCGTTTTGTTCACAGCTTATACTGTATTGGTTTGCTCTTCCGTAACGTGACGAAAATAGTGTGACGTTGACATTATAGACGGTGGATTGAATCCCGGATCAGCACCATTATCTGGCAAACCCTAACACCAACCCGTCTTCAGGTCATCCGCTAATAGCGAGTGAAGTCACTTTACCAATTCACGCTCATACTCCTTGTACTCATCGGTTCGGCGTTTCTCTCCTACGAACTTTTGTCGCCACATTCAACTTCATGGTTACGCGGGCTCGGCTTTATTTCCTAGGATTCTCGTACACAGGTTACGCCACTGAACGCGCATTCGTGTGGCGTTACAGAATTTTTGTCATTGTGCTCGACGAACACACATATGGTGTATTATTTATATCATTAATCGAACCATTGCCCATGTTATAACCCGAGCAATACAACAATGGTCGATTTTGTTCGATTCTAGTCTGCGCAGTGCACAGTCGGGAATGTACACACACACACACACACACACACACACACACACACACGGTGGCAGCATCTAGGATATTGGAATACGATCGCTAGATATACTTCCACTCCCGGTACTCCTTAATTGTCTTTATAGTGAAGTTTCTCCTGGACGGAACACCTGATACCTATATAATATTTTAACGCATATCTGAATCCAGACTGTGGCGAAACAGTTCACGATACAATGGAGTTTACAAAGATAAAATGTTCCACGATATGCCCGCGGGCGAAATACCTCCAGGTTGCCCAGGTCAAAGCAGATAAATTTACGACTTGAACCGTCGGTTAGCCAAAACCTGACACTCAACGTAACGGGCCGTTGAGTTAACGCCGCAATCCATTGTCCAGTTCATCGAACGGTGGCAAACATCCACCGTGCTCAATTGAGCCGGTGACCACTACTACAACCGGGAAGGTGTGTGGATGGTTCGTACAACTCCTCCTGGCCCATTTTGGAACTAGCGTATATAGCCAACTCCCCTAGGTGATCTGCCCGTTGTTCAACAACCCAGATGTAAGCTTTCCGTCCTTCTCTTTGATGGGAAAACAAACGCTGCATGAAGGCAGTGAGCAAGACTTCCTCAGCAGAGGCTCTTAGAGACGCGTGGTCATATAAAAGCATTTTACGAGGTGCAAGAAAAGGATGACGAACCGCAACCTGAGATTCCCACCAGTGACCATACCGTCCTATCCCTACATTATACGAGTAGACGCTCGTATTTCTTTCGAACTCACCAGCGGCCACATACCTCAAGTGAGGAGGACTTATATATAATTGTTCAAGAGGACCTAAGCTGCTCGATTAGTTGCGCTAGGGNGCTAGGGCTTCGTCCATTGCTGTGAAGAATGTCGGCGAGTCTCTGGTTGGACTGATTCATGTTGGTTCCAGGCTAGTATCAGTTTACGTTCGACCGTACACACAGTACGCCATCCAAACGTGGAGACCATGGTTGCAAAGTGATCGTAAGATGCCGGAGCGTTCACAAAGGAGGTCAAGGGACTGAGGTTTTTCATCTGTGAGTAGAGATTACGATCATTGGGACTATATTCTGCTCGGTACCGCCGAATTCGTAGAGATTTGGCGTATCAAATACTGAAGAACCCATAACATCTGTGTCGTTCAACATTCAGCTTAGGGGAGTGTTTCAAGTTACTGATTCCATAGTGCCGACTGGAATGTCAGCGTCAATCTTTTGCAGCCAGTGTGAAATATTTGGAACAACCTTTCATCTCACGTCCTTTGTGCTCCAATCGTTGAATCTTTCAAGCGGAGACTTGATGAAACCCTGACACATCTCACATTCCTATGCAACTAAAAGTGCAAATTTGTTGTGAAGACGACATTTTGTGTTATCTCCTACCCGGAACTATACCTGAAATTTTAGCATTATTTTCCAAGAAACGATTCAATTGTGTGAATATCCCATGAAGACAAGCGAAGCACGGGCTTGCAATTAATTCCCATTATAAAACTTTTACGTTTGGAGGCAAAGTGTGAACTGAAAAACAGTTAACTACCTAATATGGCATGGATTCCGTGCGTGTGCGATTGTCCCACCCTCGAGTGTGATTTGTCTATTTCCCTTATATGGGATCGGTTACAATCTGCGATCTTATTCTCGCTTAGTTCTCACAGCAAACATGTTTTCATCGGACCCCTCAGACTGGCCATACAACAGGTACCCATACGACTGATTTCGCGGTATCCCTTTTGTTGGGCCGGAATTCAGTCGATATGATATATCCGTCTCTGTTTATTTGCTGTTTTATTATTCACAACTCAAGAACTACTTACGTGAAAACTGTCCACTGCACTACTGGTTCGGTAATTACTGACTGTATATAGCGTTTTCTAGCGTCGATTTGTCAGGAGTAATTACCAATCATCGTTTGTTCATATTGTCCATCGTCTAACACGGCCAATTTTCTGATGCTCAGCGTAATTCCCTCTGTGAAAAGGTGCTATCGTCAGATGGACTGTAGGATAAAAGGATTTATTTTCGAAATAATTCAACAACAAACTTGCAATGTCATTTAGAGTTATTGCGTCTTATACTATTCCCGCTGAGTCAAGGCATAGCCTGAAAACGAGTTCTCAAATTCAATCTAATGCAATCCATATAGTTGCTTGGTTGAAACCGCGGAATACCGAATGAACAAATGCAATGGATGAATTACACTGGGTTAGGAAATCGCAGTATAGTCACTGATAAGGAAATTATCCCACTTCACCTAACAGGGAAGTACTTCCCCATTGTTATCAGATTCAAATTTCTTCGTACCACCAGCTCAGTTCGTCCCTGATTGGACAATTTTTCCAAATTTTGAGATAAATGGCCGAACCAAGGAATGCATACAAAAACAGTTGATTTCGCTATCCAAACGCCTTCGAATACAATTAAACGCACAAACTCAATTGAACATCTATACTCCAGCTTCAGTCCGGTCTCGGGGATAGTATTTCTCTGACTGGGCTAATACCATTCAGGTCATTCGCATGAGTTGTGATTGTTGTTCTTTCTGTTTGGGTCCCTACAGTAACCGGTGTGGGAACTTCGGTTTTTCGGTTCTATTAAGACAACAGGGCCAGGTTTAGCAACGAGCATATTGTTTAGTTAATCAGTACGCACGTATTTTGAAATGATATCCCTCCAAAAGAGATATTCATCGCACAATACCATACACTTCTTACAGTGAACTAATCCAGACCATTCGACCACATTGTATCTAACCGAATGCCAAGCACCAGAAAGATGAGGAAACACGTCAAATAAGTTTATTACCGTTTATTTGTGCGTCTCAGAGAGGTTGACCGAGGACGATAGTGTAAGACGAAAATTAGAGCGAATAGTCAAAGATCTACCTAATGTTGCAGTAAAACAGTAGGGTAAAGTAAAAATACCGTGAGTTCAAAATGAAAATAATCACGACCAACGAAAGATGAAAAGACTTTTTGCACAGTAAATAACTAGTTTTCAAAATCTCGCGAAAAAAATAAACCATCGAAGGAATGAAATAGCAAAAGAAACTATCGATTTGGTCCTGAGTGATTCCAGTATTCGAATGTTTGCATCTCTGTGAGACGAGACAAAGTACGAGCAAAAGCGAACATGTCCTCAGCTCCCGAGAACAGAGAAGAATTTTGATCCGCATCCGTCTGAAGCATCAGAGGAAACGGAGACGGGAATGTAAAAAGAATCATTGAATTAGTCAGACTGTGGAGAAGTATTTGTAAAACTCAGCTTTGGCATCCGTTTCTTCCGAAATGGGATCAAGAACCGACATCATCATTACTCTCACTGTCAGGATAGACAGCGATACTAACGGAATAAGTAAGATAACGTAACTGAAAATTCAGAGAGCTGACAAGTATCACCGACGCATCTGACTGGGAGTCAACAGAAACGTATGGAAATTTCACTAACCAAAAAGTAAAGTTATCGAACACAGAGGTGTCACTATAAGTGGTAGGCAGCACTGCTGTCGTCCGGTTCAATACCACGCCTAACTTATCGGGGCCTTACGTGGTTCGCCACTCCAAGTCCCGGGGTTTGGGTTGCCGGTATCCACTACTGAACAGCAGGTCCTCGTGACCATGGGGTTCGCCCCGTCTGCTGTTCATCACACCTAGGTGTGTAATAATATGAGAACTGTATGTGCTGTGTTTAAATCTGTCACTCGTAGTGCTTCTATGACATTCCCTTCTTGAAAAACAACCGTATTCATCATGCTAAGATGTATGACAGTCAAATACTAAAATTTTGATGTGATAAAAAGTAAGCACAAATATCAAGCTTTTTATAACATGACATCGTGTGATAAATAACAGGTGGAGGTTTCATATTGGTCAAGAGGACATTTTTCATTCATAATAACCGGGTGGCAGACCAAATGAACCCTGAATGAGGCAGCCGTGTCATTGAACCGGATGACGGCGAGGCTCAATACAACCGATGTTTGGTGGCAGTGATGGGGTTAGAAGATCAGGCTCCAGGGCCTAGAGCAAGCCAGTAAAACGGGATTAAACAGCTTGACCACGAGGCATTGCTTTGCTACTACATTATCCGGACTATTCCGACTTTCATATGGTTAAACGTTTGGTAGTAGATACCTTCGCTGTTATCCAGTTTAATACTAAGCCTAAACTATCGGGGCCTTATACGATTTGCCACTCCCAGTCCTGAGGCTGCGGTTGAGTGTCGATGATAGAACAGCCGATATTCACGATTACGGTGTTTATCCGGACAACTGTTCATCACACATGAGTGTGTAATAAAATTTATTTTGATATGCACACACTGAACAACTTACCATGTCCAGCTGCAGATCATCAATTAGTTGGCGATGCTCTGCGACAAGTTCAGTCAGAGACCGATTGTTATGTGAGACCAAACGTGTAATGGGCCGGTCTGCAGCAATAACCAATCGCACGTGGTTGTCATATAGCACGTCAATCAAGTGTGTGAAGCGTTTCAAACTGGGCAAACGAAACGGTCCCAGTTCGGGGACATTGCGTAACAGCAGTGTATGAAATCGAGCGGCCAGACTTAAGTAGTCTGCTGCACCTAAGGGCTGTAATGAAGTAAGCAGTGTGAATAACTTAGGTGAAAATTAATCGTTTTAGGGGAGAAAATGTTTGTAATCAACCGGTATATTTGATATTCAAAGGGTATCTGATGCGATTTTGTCTACTAAAACATCCTAACTTTGTGCACATACCACATCTTTTCTCTCCATCATTTATTCAACAATAGCCTGTGACTACAAGAGACTCTGGCGTGGATCAGAAGTTACAATGGGGAGTGGAGGAACGTGGCTCACGCCCAGTAGATACCACCACTCTGCAATCAGATTGTAATGCGTCATATGTGCAATCCATATGCGGTCATAGTACAGTCAATCTCCTGCTGTGTCACATCCCTAGGATATTCGAAACGATTGGGGAATTCCAGAAACTGACAGCATGTTAGACAATAGTAGACGCTATTGAACAGTATAAAAAATCAATTGAGAGTTTTGCGATGAAATACACCGGACCGCCTGCTTAGAATTCTTTCAAAACCAAAGGAGAGAACAATGGAGAAAGACAACGGCGATTTCATCTATAAAATAAACTTCAAAGATTGCCCAAAACACCATATCGAGCGAATTGGAAGAAAACTAACAACATAGATCCGTGAACATTAATAGGCAGTCAGGGAGCATGATCCACTATCAAGAATAACTTCAATCCTAATTCGAATCAATGAAAATCATCGACGAAGCCCGGACAAAACACACCAGAGAATTTCTCGAGGCTTGCCACTCTTTAATCAACTCAGTAAATAGATACATCAATCTGCATCACGTATACACGCCAATGCAAATCAAGGATAAAATGAGGCAACAGAGGGTCACGTACAGTTTTTGTACAATGACCAGTTCAATAGACAAATTGACGGAGTAGCTATGGAGTCCCCACTAGGTCTCCTAGACAAACCGAAGAAAGAAAAGTTACGAGAGATAACGGACATTTCGACATATTGCAGATACCTCAACGATATTTTTATCGTTTGTGATTTTCACATCAGCTACACACAGCTTTTCGACGAATTCAACAAGTGTCATCCGGCTATTCAATTCACCTGTGAATAAGAGAAGAGCGAACAACTATCCTTCTTAGATGGGTTATTAAAAAAGCGAGACGATGGTACTATCCAAAGAAGCGTGTTCTGTAAAACAACATGGGTTGGACCGTACAGGCATCTTTGTAGCTTTGTCCCCCTGAAATACAAACACAACCTGGTCAGATGTTTGCCATAGGCGCGTGTGATTGCCAGTGTTGATACACCGCAATCCGAGATAAGTTTTATTTATGACGTAATTCGGTCGAATGGTGACCCGGAAGCTTTTATTGATAAACACATGTGCTTGAAGACCAACACGAGAAAAAAAACCCGACCGCTCCTCGCAAGAACGTTCTCCTTACCATGCCGTTGAAGGGCTGCGATGCCCTGGAACTTCAAAAAAGAACGTTTATTCAAAGTGATTTCTAGAACGCTCCCTGCAGCTCAATGGTATATTATCACTACTACTCGGCCTTTGATGTCCCAGCATATAAAGCATAAGTTGCCCCTTCAGTCCAAATCCTTCGTTTTATATCTTTTCACATGCACTAGTAGTGTGTGATACGTTGGACACAACCAGGCGATTACCAAAACTGATTGTTGAGCACTGTCCTGCGGCTCTCGACATAGGAACGGTTAGATGCATTCGCAGCTTGGTTCTTGTTCATCTCTTCGACGTTGAGAACAAGGTGGATGCACTCAAAATTATTCACACTATACCCCGGAGGTATTCTGAGGGAATAAGAAGGCGCCTTTTAACCACGGCCGAGGCGATTGCAATTCACACTTTCAATTTAGAGTTATGCAAGCAAAAAAGCCGGTCCAGATACTGTCGTTGCCCTGGCCTGGACAGCGGGTTGATTGTCCATAAAACAGAGCATCAACCCTCCACCCCAACCGCCTCCCCCCATCCAGTATCATCAACCACAATCTTAATAACTAATTATTTTATTTTTATCTCCAGTGTCCCCTCCAGATTACATCATGACATATAGTTTTTACTGTATCTTACGTAACTTCATCCTGCTCTCTAGTCTTAGCTCATAGCCTTGCTTTTAATCTGCCCATCTCGTTTTCTCACATTTTCCATTTGAACTTTGTCCTCTCATCCCCTCCACGACTAAAGCATTGACTATCACAGGCTTTGTCATATTCGTTCGCTCTGTTTGCTCGCCTCTGTCTTCGATAACAAATGAACTTCGGTAGACCAATCGGATATCTGTACTAGGATCACCTTATATATGTTAACGCCTGATGCGATATATCGAAAAGAAATTTCTTCGCGAACACCGTTTTCTACATTGTCTGTGGGAATATTTTCGGATATTAACATATGACTGCATTTTATATAGCAGCGGTGGAGTTTCAGAGAGAATCGACCACAATTAGAGCCTGATGCTGGGATCCCATGTTGAAGTCTCTTATGTCGACATGAGCGTGGTGATCGATTTATCGATCTATTGTGTCGGGCTTCACTTTCTCACTTGACCAACTGTGGTAAAGTACTGCCAGGTCCCTTTATTCCCGTCTTAAAGTCAATCGATTAACGGTCAACGGCATATCGTTCCTGGGGATGGGGAATCAAGAGTTAGGTCCCACACCACCGAAACCTTAAGTCTCGAGCAGAAGTTCACCTCAAAAGTATTGCGCTTGCTTATGGAGAAGTCAGTTGATTCCGACCGGGTGAATGTTGTGACACACAGATTCAAAAGGTAATAAGCAACTATCGAAACATCAATTAATTCGTAGGATTCCAAGTAGAGTAGGATTAGTGAAGTCGTCCAAAGCTACAACTATTTTCCTAGGAGTTGAAAAGAAATACACACAGTGAAGGCGATGGGAAGTAAAAGGTTGTAGTATAACCCAAGTCGGGCTGTCAGCAGTGTCTGCACGAGTGTAGCGCACTTCTGGAATGCAGCACTAGAAGACGTTCTCCGTGGAGCAGTCAAGTCGGGAAACTTGAAGCCTTTCCCCATGTCGAGGAAAAACAGCTAGTGTCTGTCTTTGGTAGGTATGAATGTGTTGGAATATGTTCTGGTGAAGAGTGAAGATTCGACCAGAGAAAACTACCATACTTTTCTATTTTTCGGTAAAACTGGGACAGGATTAAGGAAGTCAGAACTATGAAAGATCATTAAAAGGGAATATTTTACCTTTTCCGTACCGTAACTAAACAAATTCTGTTCAGCTTATCATACACCATGATCGAACCTGACTGATTTTCTCGGCGTAAAAGAATAGCACCTATGACAATGAGAATAGCGATTTGTAGAGGAAATCTCATGTTACGCGCAAGTTAGCGGGGACACAATAAACATTGCACGGTGGATAACACAGCGTGACTTACTGAATCACATAATTCCTCAAAAGAGCATAAAGCTACTCGGTTTCCGGTATGACTAAGAATCACTGAACGACCATACGTGCTCACTGTAGCAGGGACCGGAGAACCAACTGAATGGAGACATGAAGAACAGATTCTTAAGCGCGAAAGAGTTTAAGGTAAAATTGCATGCATCAATATCACAAGAGCAAAACAGCCCTAATTCAACAGCAAATGTATCATCCAAGAAGATTAGCTGCTCACAGCAAAAGGAAATGATATGCAAATAGCACCTTCTGCTGAGAATAAACGGTAGCAACGTTTAAAAAATATTTATCCTGTTAGGGTTGTGTTATGCACATACAGTCAATTGCGTGACGAAAACTGGTGAATTAAAAAAGAATGTCTGCGTTGTTGCAGCCCAGCTTCGAGTCATTTATTAGTTCGTAGTGCTTTCTTCCACCTCAGCGAGTGACGTAACTTAAATACTCCATACAATCTCTTCGTTACTGCGAACACCGTAAAATTATTTTTGGAGGATTTCGTGATCAACGACGAAGAGAGGATGAAAATGACACTGATGTTGGGATTTCCAGCAACAGTCTTAGAGACGCGACCACCTTTGAACGGAAACGGGAAGGGAGCCATGAATTTCATAATCGCCAACAAATTAATCACGACTTTCAGAGGCCGGATATTGCGACGAGGCGTACTGGGCACACTGGACTTGTAGACTGCATCTCAAGGGCAATGGATCCGAATGACGGGACACAGTCAGTTACTTACAATTTTTTGTTTGAACTGTTCCACTTTCTTCCCATTTTGCTCTGGATTCCAACCCACCTGCCAAATGTTATGGTTATTAATATTATTGTTGTGGTGTTGGCGCTAAGCTTGTCTACAAGCCGGTGTAAATATATACGGACAGGACACCAAACTTTAATGAATTGTTCTACGTCTTTTTGGATCAGCATTCGGCTAACTAAGAGCTCCGATTGTGTACCACTCAGAAAATCACTTGTTTTTGCTTGTGCAACTTGGAGGTACCGCGAAACGGAACAAATCATAGAACGAGTGCCTTGTTGTAGTGAAGTGTGATACAGTCTAAACCGACACAAGTAAATCATAATATAGTGATAACGAATGATTCCAAAACAACAACCAAATCGAAACGCCAGTTCCTTACTTGATCATGTCGACACACAATTGAGGCACTTGTGCTAGTTCCAGACTGAAGGCGAGCGACGTTTGCCATGGTTGATTGTGGGTGGAAAAGAAACAGAATTGTTCAAACTAAGACCTGCCATGAGGGTATGAAAAGTCTGAACAGGAGATTCGGTTGCGTTAGACTCCCTGGATGGGGACCTCGGGATCATTGTAATCAATGGTTAGAGACATTGAGTGATATGGATGGGTGTCGCAAACATTTATCTCCTTTTCTCCTCGACTCTACCTTCATCCTTCCTATCTTTCTAATACTACTTCATTCAAATGGGCTGCAAAATGACAGCGACCAAAACCACCAAACGAAGGTGTAATGGTTGTACGACATGAAAACTGAATCGTATCCTGGACAAGTGGGTTTCTACTGTTGGTATTCTTGTTAAGTTAAAGCTAATCCGCAAAATAGTTTTACAAAAATGAACCTTCCATGTGCACCTAAATAACGCAAAATACAGGTAATAAAGCGATTAAAGTATCCAACAAATCGGGATTGCACTCATTCGATCCTCCGGAGCATTCTGGCTCAAAATCAAATCCGTTTCAGTTTGTACAGCCATTGACCATGCACTTTCGTGCGCCGGTTTTGGTTGTTGTCTTTCACTTGCTTATTGGATTAACAGCAGGAGAAGGATGGGAAGGTTGAAGGTTG